CTTACAGTTTGGAGGCTTTAAGTCCAAGTTCAAAGTGCCAGGCTCTAGGGGCTGGGTGAAAGCCCCTCAACCTTGGGGTCCAGCTCTGCCTCCTGGTCCTGGCCCACTGCAGCTAGAGGTGTTTCTTCACTCAGACAGCTGCTGGCTGCTGAGGCTGCCAAGCCCAAGGTTGACAACTAAAAAGGCACAGTCCCGATGTTACCAAACCACACAGCAGGCCATTAATTCAAGTCCATTGAAACTCCCAAGGTCGGCACAGCGTGGCAGGCTGCTGAGCAACCACATGGCTACATGCAGGGTCCAAGTGTGCCATCCACTAGAGACCATTCCCAAGGCTTCTCCTTATATACAGGAAGCAGACCGCCTCCCTACGGCAGCTACACAGCTGCTCACAGTAGATTCCACCATGGAGTTGATGGCCAGTCTCATCATGGGGAATGCTACATCCAGCTGCCCAGACACTCACCCAGGCCCAGCCAAGTTGACACACAGACTGAACCACCGCAGCAGGAGTGAGGGAAGGTGGCTCGGTGGTAGCATTCTTGCCTCCTGTGTGGGAGACCGGGGTTCGATTCCCGGCCAGTACTCCTTGTGCCCAGCCACACCCTGTCTGCCAGAGGGGGCTTGCATGTTGCCGGGATACTGACCAGGCCTCAGCAGGGCTCCCAGACTAAGATAGATGAGGAAGAAAGGCCTGGTGATCTGCTTCCCAAAAGCAGCCAGGGAAGACCTATGGGTGACAGCGGTTAGAGCGGCAGCTGCTGTGGGGCTGGGGCAGGGCCGGCCAGCATTCGCTCTGTGCATGGGGTCGCCGGGAGTCGGGGGCCGACTCCGGTGTAGCTAACGACCACGATAAGAAATCCTCGCCGCCGTGGCCGGGCTTACATGCAGTTTCTGGACCACATTCCAGGGAACGCGTTCCAAATTCCTCCTTGACCACTTCCTGGCTGCCGGGGTTGGTTGGTTTGCTTGTGTTTTAATCCCTGAGTTCGTGTTTGGCTCCCCCGAGGATCTACTGTGCATCTCTGCAGCCACAGCCCTTCACGGCGTGCCTTGTCGTTGTGGGTGCGTGTACACGCGCGTGTGTGTGTGCGTGCACGTGTGTGCATGTGTGCGTGCACCCGTGCCACGCTCACCGGTCTGCCTTCCTTCCTTTTCACAGTGAAGTGGCCACGGAGGTGCCGTTCCGCCTCATGCACCCCCAGCCTGGGGACCCAGGTCAGTCATCCCATTGTTCGGCTTTCTCTAGGCCTTTACTTCTTTCAGGTTTAGTATTTACTCTGTCTTGATCTTTCCGGAACACCTCTTGGAGCGGGGCTTGGGCAGATGGGCAGGATTCCCTTCCGTCTGCAAGGTCACTGGGCCAGCTCTAGAAAAGCGAGCGTGGTCCCTCCTGAACTGGGCAGCTGCTGCCCCTACAGTGAGTGGGTGGCGGGGGGAGCCCCTCACGCTGGGACAGCGGCCACTCCAGTTAGGTTTTGTCGAGAATGATTTAAAGCAGAGGCTGTGCTGTCAACAGACCTGGATAGAGATTTAAAAAGAGCTTACAGCACAGTGCAATGCACTGCCGTCGAGTCGGCCCCGACTCACAGCGACCCCTCCTTGGGTTTCCGAGGCGGTATCACTATGGAAGTAGGATTGCCCAACCTTCCTTCCGAGGAGTGGCTGGTGGGTTTGAACCGCCAGCCTTCTGATTAGCAGGCAAGTGCTTTAGGCACTGTCACCAGAGCTCCTAAAGATAGCTTAGGTGGAAGAGAAAAAGCCCTGGTTGCTTAGTGGTTAAAGCACTCAACGGCCGTTTGAACCCACCAGCTGCTCCGTGGGAGAAAGATGTGGTAGTTGGCTTCCGTGAAGATCGACAGCCTTGGAGACCCTGTGGGCAGTTCCACTCTGTCCTCTAGGGGCGCTGTGGGTCAGAATGTACTCCAGGGCAGTGGGTGTGGTTCAGTTTAGTTGGGAAATAAACGTGAGAGCCGGAGGCATTTCTTTCCTCAGAAACGAGAGGTCCTGCACACCGGCAGGGGAGGTGTTCAGAAGACAACAAATATTTTTGACAGTGGCGATTGTGATGGGAACACAGCTCACTGTCATGGAGTTGACTCTGACGCCTAGTGACCCTTCAAGATAGAGGAGAACTGCCCCTCTTGGTGGGTCACGGGTGGCACCCCATTGTGTTCCTGGCTGACGCAGGAAGGTGGGTGAATCTAAGCAGAGAAAGCAGAAGTGGAGTCAAGGGCCCTCCCGGGATAAGGACGTAACAGGTGCCGTGGAAGGGCTGCAAGGTTCTGACTGTCCCCGCCTGGAGCAGCTGTTGCAGAAGTTGGCAGCACTCTTGGCCCCTCGCCTGTCTCTTTGTCCTATGGTGGTGGCTTGCATTTTACTACGATCGATACTGAAATCAATGCCTTGTTGATAGTTACTGGTGACTGGAATGTGAAAGTTGGAAACAAGGAAGATATGGAAAATACGGCCTTGGTGACAGGAACACCGGAGATCACAAGATGGAATTCTGCAAGACCAAGGACTTACTCATTGCAAATACCTTTCATTGCAAATATCTTCATTGCAAACGTAAAGGGCGACTATACACGTGGACATTGCTGGACGGGATATACGGGAGTCCGATCAATGGAGAGAGATGACAGAGAAAGTCGTCAGTATCGTCAGTCACAATAAGGCCAGGGGCCGACTAGGGAACAGACTGTCAATTGCTCATATACAAGTTCAAGTTGAAGCTGAAAACAATTAAAACAAGTGCATGAGAGCCAAAGTACCATTATAGCCCACCTGAATTTAGAGGTCATCTGATTAATGGATTTGATGCATTGAACACTAAGACTGAGGACCACACAAGTTGTGGGATAACATCAGGACATCATATATAAAGTAAAAGGTCACTAAGAAGATAAGGGAAAACAAAGAGACCAAAATGGATGTCAGAAGAGACTTTGAAACTCACTCCTGAAGGTAGAGTAGCTAAAGCAAATGGAAGAAATGATGGGGTGAAAGAGCTGACCAGAAGATTTCAAAGGGCATCTCGAAAGACAAAGTAAAGTATTATGATGAAATGTGCAAAGACCTGGAGTTAGAAACCAAAAGGGAGAAACACACTCAGCATTTCTCAAGGTGAAAGAACTGAAGGAAAAATTGAATTGCCTCGAGTTGCAATATTGAAGGATTCTATGTTCAAAATATTGAACAATGCAGGAGGCATCAGAAGAAGATGGAAGGAATACACAGAGTCAAGAAGAATTGGTTGATATTTGGCCATTTCAGGAGATAGCATGCAATCGAGGACTGACAGTACTGAAGGAAGACGTCCAAGCCACACTGTGGGCACTGGCAAAAAATAGGGCTCCAGGAATTGACGGAATACTGTTGAGATGTTTCAACAAACAAATGCAATACTGGAAGCCTTCATTCATCTGTACCAAGAAACTTGGAAGACAGTGAAGGCACGCGCAGAGGAAACAGACCCAGGACAGTGATTTGTAATCACTACCCAGCCAACCAACTGGAAGAGAGTCATATCACCTGCAAGTAAAATTTTGCCGAAGATAATTAAAAAATGGTTGCCGCAGTACATTGACAGTCGACACTGACACATGTGAGGTCTCCATGCATCAGGGTTGATGTGACGACAACTGGTTTTTGGTAATTCTTTTTCTTCACTTAGCACTTCTGTGTTCGCTGACAGTTGCATCCAGTAATTTATAAGTGGGCCAGAGAGCTAAAAACAAATCAAAACAAAATAACAGCAATTTCTCTGGAGAATGAGGAGTGGCGCAGTGGTTAAGTGCTTGGCTGTTACCCCAAAGGTTGGTGGTTCAGACTCACCAAGCTGCTCCAAGGGGAAAGACCTGGATCTACTCCTGTAAAGATTACAGCCTCGAAACACTATGGGGCAGTTATACCCTTCCATTGGGGTTACTGTGAGTCCAAATTGACTGACAGCACACAACAGTTTTGGGGATACAAAACATGCATAAAAACATAACCCACCCTAACAGATCAGTGTAGCAGAAATTGGCAACCAAAAGGTTAGAGGGTGGTCCTCACACTTTGGTGTGAGCCTCAACCACTTGGATGCTAGTGAAAGCTCACCACTCTTCAGTCCTGAAGTCTGCACTGGAAGCTATGTGCTTGGTCTAGGAGGGGGTGTCTTAGCAGCACGTGGTGCCTGGGGTCTGGATGGGCCAGGAGAACACTTAGGGAGAAACTCTTTGAAGAGAAACAGGATGTCAGGGCAGTGACCGGGAGGGGGACCCTAGAGGTGAGATGTGGCTTGCTTCTTTTGAGGAGGTGGAGGTGAGAGCACTTCTTCAAGAAAGCAGTGGCTACAAATGCAGGGAGAAGAAAAGTACTGAGGATTCCCTCCCCAAGATCAAGATGTAATAATACAAGCATGTTATTCAGGGATATAAAAATAAACATCTAAACAATCAAATTTTAGAAATGCAGGAAGAAAAGGCCAAGTAGCAGAAATTAGCCACCCGCTGTCCATCAGGAAGGGAGGTTGGGCAATTTACTTCCTTAGTGATACCGCCTCGGAAACCCAAGGAGGGGTCGCTGTGAGTGGGAGCTGACTCAACCGCTGTGAGTTGTCCATCAGTAGAAGCTTGTGTGTTGCTGGGACGCTGACCAGCTTTCAGCAGACCTTCCAGACTAAGACAGACAGGAGGAAGGGCCTGGTGATCTGCTTCGGAGAATCAGCCCGTGAAAAGAAACCCTGTGGGTCACAACCGTGTGACCCGAAACCACTCATATGGACGGTGCAGGACTGGGCAATGTTTCACTCCGTCGTATATGAGGTCGCCACCGGTGGGGGGCTGACTGGGTGGCAGATAACAACAGCATCAAGAATTCCATGTATCAGGCCTTATCCTAAGGTGCTCTAGTAGTGCACTGGTTCAAGCATTCAGCTGCTAGCCAGAAGGTCAGTGGTTCAAACCCACCTGCCACTGCATGGGAGAAAAATAAGGCAGTCTGCTTCCATAAAGATTCCAAAATCGAGCCAAACTCACTGCCGTGGAGTCAGATCTGACTCATAGAGACCCCTCCTTGGGTTTCCGAGGCAGTATCACTACAGAAGTAGATTGTCCAACCTTTCTTCCGAGGAGGGGCTGGTGGGTTTGAACCGCCAGCCTTCTGGTTAGCAGTCAAGTGCCTTATGCACTACACCACCAGAGCTCCCTCCATAAAGATTTAGAGCCTTAGAAATCCTAAGGGGCAGTTCTACTCTGACCGACAGGGTCACTGTGAGTTGGAATTGATTTGATGGCAGTGGGATAGGCCTAATTTCAATTATAAAGTCACCCAAACAGGGAAGCAGTATTCCAGATTTAGCGAGGATACAGAGTTTATGCTAATAAATTGTATTCTCTTTTCTTCTGTGCTTACAGCAAAGGAAAGGTGAGCCACTCGGCACTGTCCTCGAGTCTCCCCGTGTCCTGTGACTTCCCTCCTCTGGTCCGGACTCTGGAGTCCGTTCTCAGTCCGCACCGTCAGACCCGCCTCTACCCCAGACGCTGGCCGCCCTCTGCGTCCTAGTGTCCCCTTCTGCACGTTACCGTCCTTGGTCAGTGTGCTCGCTCTGTGTGTGCCTTCGCTGTCTTTGTATCATTGTTTAAGAGATTCTCTGTTTAAAAAATTGTTTATTGTGATCTGGGTGAACGTTTGCAGAGCAAATTCACTTTCCTTACAGCAGCTCACACACACTTTGTCCGTTTAAGAGACTCTTAAGTGAAAAGTTACGGAGAACACAGTGCAGCCCCTGTCCTATCACCTAGGAAATCTAAACTGGTCCTTGGTAGCAAAAGGAAGACCAGATATCTTGAGTTGCGCTCTAAGTCTCATCTTAACCTGCGAAGACTGGGTCGTGATCAAAATGTCCTTTGTTTGCATTTAGTTTTCAGGATGAAAATTTGGTTTTTGAGGAGTTTGCTCGCCAAAATCTGAAAGATGTGGTCGAAACTGAGCAACGGGAGAAAGATGAGGAGGCCACCAATGATGAATGAAGAGGTGGCCAAGGAGTCAGGCAACAGCCTGGAGTTACCACGCACCCCCTGCCCAGCGAAGCTACAGAGCTAACCTTTACAGCAGTGCTAGTTGAAACCGTGGGAGTTCTTTATAGAAATAAAATCGGTCCAGCCTCTCTCTGGTTGAGTCCAGCTGACTTGCTGGGGGTGCTAAGCTGATGTCACCAGCACAGAAGCTGTATCCTTCAGGGTCCCTGGTGTCTTCAGGGGTGGCACACCAAAAGGACACCAGCCATGTACAGAAGGGCTTGCCACTGGCTGATCAAACCTTGCACTGGTCTGACCCTCGTGAACGTAACACAGAGAACCCTGTTTCCAGACAGAACCCACATGTACAGAGGTCAGGCATTCAGCACACATTTCGGAGGGATGAATTCAATCCACAACAACATTAATAATGATAATGACAACAATACAGGCAGAAGCCTGGGCCTTTGCCCAGTGGGTCTGTAGGGTGAGACACAGCTGTCTGCTCCTTTGTCCTGTGTACTAAGGGAGTAGCATGGTCTCCCTGCAGCGCAGGACCTTCTCTCAGGGAACCCAGACACAGGGCCCATCAGGGTGACATGTTCCTTGGGGATTTGAAGGCCGTCCAAGATCTCTCTGAGCCCTTCCCTCCAATTGTCCTCCAGGCCCAAAGCTGACTCTGGTTGGCTCCTGCAGGAGACCCTGGCCAAGCCATGGTCCAGGCCAAGCAGTGCCTGGTGGGAGTGGGGTGCTGGTGAGAGGATCAGCCATGGGGTCCCTCATCGCTTGAGCCAGGACATCTTGAGTTAGGGTGGACATTAGGAGGCCCAACCTTCGGAACAGGGCGATGGAGGAAAGTCAGAGCGAAGAGCCGAAAGCCTGGCCCCTGGAGCCCACAGCCCAGAACAGCCCCTGGCCTGCAAGTTATTTGGTGCCAAGAGATCTGTTGCAGCTGGCAGGTGCTGGCTTTTTTTGTGGGCACAGCATCACATGCCACCCGGGGTGGGGCCTGCAGGAAGTGAGATGCCACCCAGGGTGGGGCGTGCAGCAAGTGAGCAGAGAACGGGATGTGCGAGCCGGGCTCCGCCTGCTCCCAGCGGGTTGTCTCTGCGGCAAAGACTTCTGCCTGCAGCTGACCATGGGCCCTGGGCTTGGGGGCAGGTGCAGTGGAAGAAGCAGGGGGTGAGGGGTTGAGGGTGTGGCGAGAAGACAGTGCTGACTGAAAACGGGGGAGAAGGCTGTGCAGCCAGGGACCAAGGGGCCGGTGAAGTGATGCTACCCCCGACATGTGACGTCTGCTTTGTGCCAGGCACCGTGGAGATGTCACAGCCAATTGTCCCAGCACTGCTTGGCAGTCGGTACTGTCATTCCCAGTTAGATGAGGAGATTGGAGTTCACAGAGGTCATGGACTTGACCTAGGCAGGTGATGGTTCAGGGCTAGAATTGAGGCGTAGCCCGGGAAACCCGAGTTCAAGTCCCAGCTGGTGCCTCTCATGCAGCCGCCACCATCTGTCAGCGGAGGCTGGGCAGGTTTCAGCCTATCTCTGACAACCGGAGAAGCCTGTGGGTCACACGGGTGTGCTCATGGGATGACACCCGTGGCATGGCACGGGACCGGCGGCGTTTCATTCCATTGTGCTTGGCAGTGGCCATGAGTCAGCTACTCTGTCCTGTTAGGGTCACTGTGAGTTGGGATCAACTGCATGGCAACAGGTTTGGTTTTTCAACGGTTTCATGTGCACCGCTCGCGTGTCCTAACGTTCTTTTTGACAGGAGGCGCGCCTCTTCTTTTAGCGTGCTGTCAAAAGGATTAGCTTAGAGGTGGCGTGTTATTATTGCCATTTTGATGTGCCCTCAAGGTGGGGGTAAAGTCAGTGAGCAGCACATTGTTGGAGGTGATTCACCGTGATTCACCGTCAGCGTGACTCATTCAATAAAGAGGCCCCGGAGGGAACGTGCTCTTGCAGGCGGCAAAGTTGTGGGTGTCAGTCCCTCTGCCCGTCCTGAAATCTCCAAGGGAACCCACGATTTACTAGGGGAACGGAAAGCCATCCTCGCTGCTCAAGATAGCGTCTGCCACTGTGTGTCTGATTTAACAGCCTAAAGAATACCAGGCCTGTTGCTTATTTATTTTTTTTTTTTGAAACTTTTTATTTTAGAATAGTTTCAGATTTATAGAAAAGTTGTGAATATAGTACACAGAGGTCCCATAGACACTGTGCCCCCCCCCCCAAAAAAAATCCACTGCCCTGGTATAGAGGCCAATGCATAGCAACCTCGAAGGCCAGAGTGGAACTGCCTGCCCCACAGGGCCTCCCAGGCTGTCAATCTTCACAGAAGCAAAGCCCAAACCACACCCACTGCCTGGAGTCCATTCTGACCCACAGCGCCCCTAGAGGACAGAGTGGAACTGCCCCACAGGGTCTCCAAGGCTGTAGTGCCTAAGGCCTTTGACTGCTAGAAGGCTGGCAGTTCAAACCACCAACCACTCCTTGGAAGGAAGATTGAGCAATCTACTTTTGTAGAGATAATGCCTATGAGTTGGGACTGACTCGACAGCAGTGAGTCTGGTCTGGTTTTGGTTGAATCTTTACAGAAGCAGATTACTGCATCTATCTCCTATGGAGCAGCTGGTGGGTTTAGACCATTAACCTTTGGTTAGTAACTGAGCACTTAACTGTTGCACCACCAGGCTCCTTCCCTGTGTGCAGTACCTGTGTAGAACATCTGTAACATTTAACCAAGCATCTTGATGTATTAGTTCCTGGGCGCTGCAAATGGTTCATGTGTTCAGCTGCAAACTGCAAGGTTGGAGGTTTGAGTGCAGCCACAGGTCCCTTGGAAAAAAGGCCTGGTGACCTCCTTCCGAAAAACAGCCATTGAAAGCCTCTGACGTCGCCAGGAGCCAGGGTCCCCTCCACAGCCCCTCCCCTTCCATCTCTAGGCTACCACCCTGGTTCTGGCCCCAATCGGCACAGTCGGAGGGCGGGGTGCAGTCCTTTTCCATGGATCTTTCGTTGCCAGTCTTTTCTCCCTCCTCACACTGCCCGTGTAGTTCCTCGGCTCTGAAACTCCTCCGGGCTCCAGTGCCTACAGAGAAAGTCCTGCTCCAGAGGTGGGCACGAAGACTCCTCTGGACCCGACCCGCCGTCAGCCCTGCCACACACCCTCCTCCCTGCCCGTTTTGCCATTGGCTTGACAGCAAACCCAAACCCCCAGGCACTCTCTGAACAGGCTTGGTCGTCCTGGGAATTTATTTCCTTCCCTCATCTTTCCATTTCAGTCCCCAAACCCTTGGCCACCCCTCCCCTGGAGAGCCTCCCTACCAGTTAACTCTTTATTCCCCTGCACCCCTTTGTCCTCGGAGGTCCCTAGGATTTCTGCACGTGTGCGTCAGAGCTAACCAACCCTGAGCAGCATGGACTCGCGTGATCCAGACTCGAGTTCAGCTCCTCTCACACACCTTTGTGGTGGTGGTTGGGGGCCATCCAGGCGACGCCACGTCCAACAGAATGAAACACGCCCCGGTGCTGCGTCATCCTGACAACCCTGGCTGTGCTTGAGCCCACTGCAGCCACGGTCCCGTCAGCTTGTTGAGGGTCTTCCCCTTTTCACTGACCCTCTGCCTTATCAAACATGATGTCCTTCCCCAGGGACTGGCCCCTCCTGATGAGGTGAGCAAAGTAGGTGAGACAAGGGCTCGCCACTCGCGTCCAAGGGGCATTGCAGCTGCACTTGGTCCAGCACAGATTTGTCCCTTCTGGAAGTCCATATATATTCCTGGCACATTCCGCAGTCTTTGCCAACACCACAACTTGGCAGAAGTGTTCCCTCCTCAGGCGTCGGGCCTTCACCTCCACAACTGGACCAGAGACTAGCTTCGTGGTGCTTGTGTGAGGGCTAGAATCACAGGCCATGGGTCTGGCATGAACCCGGAACTCAGGAGGCAGAAGCCATTGTCATCCTTGTGGCCGGCAGTACCTTCTGCAATGATGCATGTGACAGGGTGGGCAGTGCTGCCGAGTGCACCCAGGGACCTGAGGCCTGTCCCACAGTGCGTCCCCTCTGCCCCGCCGTGCTCTGTAACATTTCCCTGGCTGTGCCCACATTCCAGACCCCACTTTGTGATCCAGAGGTCCTCGGCCTGGCTTGCCCTGAAAAGTCCTGCCTCCGTGCATGCTTACTGCGGGGGCGTCAGGGGTGCAGGGCCTCCCAGGCTTTCTCAAAGCCCTTGGCAGCCCACTGCTGATTAGCTGATTTGCCCCTCCTAGCAGATGAATGGACAGCATTTCCTCCTCCGTGGCACGTCGGTGCCCCCAAAGCCATCAAAAACTCAACTGATCTCATCTCAGCTAACCCAGCCCCTTCCCACCCAGTGCAGGGCTCCACCCATCCACCCCCCAGCAGCCCAGCTGGCAACTGGGGCTCATCCCGGGGCGCTACCTCCTCCTGTCCCTGCCCCCCCCCCCCCGTTTCACTTTTATCTGCACTGCCGCTTCCAGGCATCCAGGGCGGCTACCTGGCTGCATTACTTCAAAGCGTGGATTACAGTCCCAGCTTTGTGATCCAGTCCCGCCTGGTTTAAAATTCCTCAAGGGCTTCCTGTTGCCCTCAGGACTCGGGAAAAGACAAAGCCCCTTATCCAGGTGTAGAAAGCCTGGCGTGACCTGACCAACCCCCCCCCCCCCAATATTCTCTTAAAGCCACTCTCCTCCTCCAAGCTCCAGCGTCCCTTTTTCCTGCGCCTCGATTTTTTGCCTCCAGGTTTTTGGCAAACCAGTCTCTTTGCCTAGAACAGGTACTCACTTGAGGGCTAAGTCCTGCGACTTCCCCCGCTCTCTTTCAACATCTTTGTCTACAGTAAGCCTTCCCAGATGGAATTGCATGTCCCTGTCCAGGGACTTTCTCTCCTGGACTCATGCACGCATTCATTCACTCCCCGAACAGTTGATGGTGCAACTAAGCACAGCATGCCAGGCTCTGCTCTAGGAAATGATAAGACAGAAACGGT